TAGCACGGTATCTAGAGCGTTGCCCCGACTAATCCGTTGGTCGACCCGAGTCGCACACCTGGCAATGGTGGGTGAGTCTCCCAACAAGAGTTTTCTGCATTCACAAGGACTCGAACCCGAGACCTTGTTTAAGCGACATCAAGCTGCTTACCGCTTGAGCCAACCTCTATTGGTTATGGATATGCTCTTTGACCAACTAGTATAATTAGTGGAGTTGCACTTTGTATTTGAGCATGTACTTAGTGAATATTATTATTATTAACATTAATTGTGATCACTATTCTAAAAATCGTCCTAGATGGCCGCCTAGGCGCTAGGAGGTGCCCGAGCACCTCTGATTTGCAAAAAATTGGCAGAAAAAATCGATAAGGCGGCTAGGCGACGATTAGGCGGGTTTAGGCGGCCCTAGGTGCTCCTAGCCGGACTTGGCGGGCTCGACGGCTGTTGTAGCAAAATATATTTTTTTACCAAGTACTGAATTGAAAGATTCGTTTCCTGGGTCGATCTCTCGAGGAAGGCGGTTCGGAATCTAGGAATGATGTTGATAACACATAAAAGAAAAATAAATCCTAAACACTCTAATCAAGATGGTTGGTTTTAATTATCGACTACGAAAGAAAACTCAAATAGTGCAAAACCGAACTTAAAAGCAAAGGCGAAGATCAAACCAATGCAAATATCAAGCTAAGATCATTCAGTTAAGTGAACTGAACAACCTAACGTCTAGAAATTAGTCCTCAATAACTCTTCGTAACAAGAGGGTAACTTAGACGGTAAATCAAGCAAATCACGCAACACATAGACAATACGTTTCCGAACAAGTCTATTTCATGCGAGCCTAGATCGATCAACTCATGCCCTTTTGGTTCTAAGAGTTGATTAATTATCCTAGACGATTGTTAATCTACTAGTTCATTGGATTTAAACACATCACACAAGAACGAATCATATTCAATTGGAAATCAATTGCAAATCGAAGTGCCACTCTTCGATAATATTCAAGCAAAACTCGCATAAGAACGATCAACAAGCATGAAAATCACAATTAAATTCTAAACATCATCATCATCATCCACTATCCCTAGCAAAACAAATTAGCTACTCATGGAATTCAAAATCAACAATCTCAACAACCAAAGCCATCATATTCATGGATTAGATGAAAAGAGAAACTTACGATTAATAGAAATCCGATATTTGAATCCAATGACAAAGCTAAATCTGGAAAAGTAAAGAGAGAAATGAGCAAAAAGAATGATCAAAATCCAAGTTTTAGAGTAGGAGAAAGGGAAAAATGATTTTGGGGATTATTCCAACGAGTCTAAGGATCTTTTTTTTCTACGCATTGCTAACGAACCCCTCTGTTCAGTTATGCTCTCGAAACCAATTTTTCCTGAAGAGAAAATTCACCCGAAGCTCCCGACCTACACACCAAAAACGACAAAACACAAAAGAAAACCGAAAAAACAAAAAAAGATCTAAAGACTCAAAATAGAGGAAAACACATAATAAAACACGAAACGGACTAAAAACTAAGAAAAAACCTAAAACGGGAGAAAAGAAAGATAAAATAAACACGAAAAACGCAACAAAAATGGGACAAACAGCGGCCAGTGGTTAGGCGGCGCCTAGGCGGGAATATGCGGACCTAGGCGCTCCTAGGCGGGCTCGATGACAATTTTTAAGTTTTTTTTTGTAACTTTTTAAATACTACTTATATTATTTTGTTCTCATATTTTCTTAAAATATATTAATTTTATTATTTGCACTTAGGGTGTCGATTTATTATAATTGAGATGATTTATATTATAAATAGTTAAAATAAATAAAAAATAAGGTATTTAATAATAATTTATAGGCCCCGACTAGACGCCGCCTTGACGCTCTAGGCGCTAGGCGTTGGTCGAGCGCCTAGCGGGCGCCATTTTAGGTTATTATCAATTTAATGCTCACTTTTAGTTCTAAGACCCCAACTAATAACTTTACTTTTTTCACATAATTTTGTGAACCAGTTAACTTTATTTTATGAAATAGTTACTAGTATGTAACCCGTGCGATGCACGGGCTAGTACATGTTTTGGAAATTTTTAAAAAATTAAAAGGTCATTAATTAATAAGTTGTTATAATACGTATGACATTCATAAAGTAAATATAAAATCGTCATTGGTAAAGAGTTATACATTATTAAAAACCTCCTTATATACAACGTTATTAGTTTGATTACTGTGTAACTCATCGTCCCCACAAACTAATAGTTTCAACCCCTTCCTATTAGTAACACGTGAAACAACGACGTATAACTTGCCATGACTAAAAACAGGTTTTTTCAAGAATAGTCCAACATGTGATAAAGACTGACCCTGACTTTTGTTTATGGTCATGACATAGGAAACCATAAGGAGAAATTGCCTCTGTTGGAACTTAAACGGAACCCTAACATCATAAGGAGTTATATTCATCCGAGGAATCAACACCTTCTCACCTGCGTGATCTCCAGTCAATATCCTACATTCAAGAACATGCGGAGAGAGCTTCTTAACAATCAAACGTGTGCCATTACACAGACCCATAGAATGGTACATGTTTCGCAACAACATGACTGGAGTTCCTATCTTCAAATGCAACTCATGGTTCGGCATTCCCGAACACTTAATGCTATCCAAGAACTCGGGTGTGTGGAGATCAACCAAAAAGCCATTGCCGGAATTCGACTTAGATGTACTGTCAGAGCTCAAATATGTACGACCTTCAACAGAATTCATATCCGACATGTATTGATTGATGGACTCAACAACCTCCAAAGTAGGCGCTAATATAGCTCTGTCCTGCACATAACTTGGATCGCCAGTTGCATTTTTTAACATTGGATAGGTACTTTCGACGATTGTAGCAATTGGATCGTCTAAGGTTTCCAATCGTATATCCTATGGAATGTCAATCGCGGCACAACCGTCATTTGATCCTCCTACAGTCCGTCTCCAATGCTCGCAATCCACTCAGCAAATGTTGTTAGCTCATCACGTTCGTCTACATCTGAAATGCTCTGAAGATGCATGTTCTTTGTAAGTCGCAACACAGTACAATTCCTCCAAATGTCGGAAGAATTAATAGTTGCATTCACAATGACCTGACGACTCCCCTTTGGAATCACTGGAAATATTTGTCAAAAGTCTCCACCAAATACAATAGGTTTGCCTCCGAATGGCTTGTTACTGTTGGAAGGGTCAACTGCTCCCATAATAGCCTGCAATGATGTTTGGACAGCTTCGAAGCAATGTTTGTGCATCATCGGCGCCTCATCCCATATAATGAGAGAGCATCGTATTATAAGTTCCGCAAGAGGACTTGTCTGGTCGATATCGCAGGATGAATTTTTATGAATACTCAGTGGTATGCGAAATCGAGAGTGTGCAGTTCTTCCACCAGGCAAAAAAAGAGACGCTATTCCACTTGATGCGACACATAAAACAATTTAACCCTTTGATCGTAACCCCACAGACAACGTTCTCCACAAGTAGGTCTTCTCTGTCCCGCCATATCCGTATACAAAAAATACACCACCATTAGCAGAATCAACAGCGTCCATGATCTTTGAATAAACATTCTTCTGCTCGTCGGTCATTCTACTAAGAAGTGCTTCGTGCTCTACAGATAAAGCCTTCCGATCGTAATTTAGCTCATCCAATATTAAGCGATTCGAAGTAGAGTTGCTATGATCTCTGACTGGATAAGACATGGATGAATAATCACGAAGACTTGTGCCGCGCCTTCTCCTACAATTTGTTGTATTTTCTGTTGAAGTACAACATCTAACAATTGGTTTACAATTTATATTAGAATCTACATCAATGCAATTATTAATAATTGTTAAAATGTGTATCCGTTATTGTTAAGTATATATATTTATTTATCTAATGGTTCGTAGTTATTTTAATGATGAATTATTAGTAAAGATTATAATATCCCGATTATACAACGACATGGATTAAAATAATGAAATCATCATTAAAATAATTAAATCATCGTTTCAATCTGAGGAATATTCAAGACAATGGATTAAAATTAAATTTTAAAAAATCATACGAAAGCAGTGCAACAATTCATATCAAATCCAAAAAATATGAAAACTGATTAATTTTAATAATTGTTCCAAGCTTAATTATTTATACGTAGGGAAATTTCCCTCGTATTAGAAAACAATAGTCCTGCTATGGAGCACAAGCATCCACCGGTGATTTGTTTCCTTGTACATCCCATTATTAATTTCAACGTCGTAGTCCCTGAGTGCATATATATCGCCTTGCTTAAATACACCTCGAAATGCACGAATATGCGCAGAATGTATACAATATGAAGTTATACAAAATAAGTTAAATAATAAAATTACGGATGTTAGTAATATAGATATAACATATCAAAATATTACCTCACGATCTAGAAGATGATCTCAAAAAAATTATTGGACTCCACGTCAAATTCCATCTCAATAATTAGAATGACTCTCAATATCAAATAAGGTTTATTGGACCTATTAACAACATGGAGTGTATCAAATAACTCTCTCATTTTTTTTAATATTTTTCGAAACTTCTATGCGTTTTTTTTATGGACAGGAATTGGAGACGTTGATAAAATATGGTATCTATATATATAGGAATCAATTAATATAAATTAAAATCAAATAATTTAATTGTTGAGAGTGGCTTTTAATTACAAACTTATGGAAATGGAATAAAAATTGGATGGTATAGGATTTTGGGAATTTATTAGGAATGTAAATACTAATCTTTACATGAGAGTCAAACTTTAATTAATTGATGAATTGAAATATTAATATTTATTTTTTTGTTGGCAGACTGTACAAAAATTGCATGATATGCGGCCACAAAATGTATCTTATGGATTTGTACG